GATCCAATAACAGATTGGTGTTTCACTTTGTTCGGCGATTTTTTTGCATTTCGTATTCATCGGCGAAGAGTCAATACGTTCTTTTTATGCTCACGGGTTCAATTGAACTGCTGAGAATAAAAGGCTGACGGCTGCAGGTTTTTCGCAAAAGCGGGATAAAAATCAGTCGCACGCAAAAGAGACATTTCAAAAGGTTGCACGCAAACGGAACATTTTATTTTGTCGCATTTCGAATTTTCAAGCCGTGATTACAACAACAATATACTTCTCTCTTGCGTGCAACCTTTTGAAATGTCTCTTTTGCGTGCGACTGATTTTTATCCCGCTTTTGCGAAAAACCTGCAATCGTCAGCCTTTTATTCTCAGCAGTTCAATTGAAGGATTTGCATGGCACTTTTATCGTCGAGCATTCAATGAATAAAACGTGAAAATTTTCATTACTCTAACTATTTGCAAAAAGAAGCGATTATGAGAAGTTGCTTACTAGCCAACATTTTTTCCTAATGCATGTTTTCCGAATTTCAGATTGGGCTCAAGCAATATTTACTCCCGGCAGTGATTTTAGGAATTTGGCGGCGTATTGGTGGAAATTCATCAGTGGAACTACTGAGCTGAAAAAGTTAAAGTCTGGCTTCTTGCTTAAAGAGATATTAGAAGGTTTTCGAAATAAATCCCTATCAGCTTTAACACAAGACCATTGCTTTTGTCTGTATTCATGTCATGATTTCACAATTGTATCAATGCTTAACGCTCTTGAACTCTTTGATGTAATTATTCTCATAACCGAATGTCGTTCCATTTTATGAAGGTCATTTATATAAACAAATCAATTTATTCTATTTCATAGATTCATATACCTCCTTATTCATCGAGTCTCCTATTTGAATTGTACAAATCAAGCGACGATTTAACTATTCTACAGAAATGCAACAGCAGAAAGCCCATCTTCATTAAATATTCCCTTGTGCGGAATGAAATGTCAACTCAATCAATTTTATGAATTATACTTGGATATTTTGCTATCTGACTTTGAAATCGAATGTAGATTGCCAAGCAAATGATTGCAATTTAGAAAATATATTCAGAACAAATCGATGGATGAAAAGGTCACTATTAGATCAATCATAAAAATTATACAGCGATATAAACTTAGAATCTAGAGTCAAGACATCAGAGTGTCGTTTGTCGAATGAGTGTTCAGATCAAAACAACGAAAAACGGGTAAGCCATTGAAAAGAAATTTTTCTATTTTGTTAACTTTTGATATGATACGACCAATAAAACATATTGTGATTCGAATTTATCTGTTGAATTTGCTCAAAATATAAATCACATTGATAAAAACGCAAAAAAAAACAAGTAGATCGTTTCCTTTTGAATGAATTTATTAACTTGTTATTATCGAATCAATCATACAATCCTATATCGGAAACGCACAAAATATTCATTCTGATTGTTCAAAATTAACGTAAGTAAATTGACCGGTATTTCCCATAAAATAGACGCAATAGTTCAGGAAGATAATTCTATATTTACAGTTCATTAGCATTTACAACCTCCTGTCCAATTCTGTAGAACGATAGAATTTAGAGATGAAAAATTGACATTTTAGCATAGAAAGTGGATTCGTTTTTCGCGCAGTTCAAAATTATAACCGTGATAAATGCAAAACTACACATTGATTTTCTAAAATTTTAACATTTCGCTTACTTTTTCTTTGTTCTTCATCGTTATGCGTCAGCGTTAATCGCATTTGAAATCCGACTCGTCTGGAATAATTGCGCTGTAGACTTTGTAAAATTGATCCAATGTGCATTTTTCTCCACAGTTTGGTATGTTCAATGGTGTAAGGATTTCCTCATTTTCGGACTTTCTATAAAAAAGCTGAAAATAATGCTCATTCTTGCTCGTTCGATACAACTCGAAGTGCAGACTCGATGCAAACGGTGGAAAGTGTAACTAACCGAAAAGAAAGCGATCATTTGATGGAAATATTATTTCGTTTTGAGAAAAAAAGAAATACCTCAAAGAGTCCAAGACTATTCAAAACGTACGAAATAGTGGAATCGTGTGCAGAATAGAAAAATATAGATCGGTCCGGTTGTAAAGTTTTGTTGATCTTCTGAGTGAAGTGTTCGAGTATTTCCTTGAGTAGAAATCCAGATCGAAGTCGTGCCAATAATGGTGTAGCCGATTCCAGCTTGAAATGCCATTTGGCCACGTATTCCATCACTCCGTTTGGTTCGATTTCCTTTTTTGCGTCTTCTGATAACGGTTTGTTCGTCCAGTTTTCAATATTATATGTGTCATAAAGCTGTTGAACATCATTGAAAGTGACAATATCCAATCCGCTCATTTGTGACCATAGTTTGAATTTATCTGCATGTTGAGTAAGAATCGTTTGTATTTCCGGTGATTCGCTCATGAATTTTTTAAGTTCGGCCTCATACTTTGCATTTTTCAACCCAAATATAACATAATCATCCTTCTGCGGCACAGTATGCACGGGGATCGGCTGCCAAATTTTAGCCAATGGAAGCTCTTCGTTCCACACTTCGTCCTTGGTCGGAGCGAAAAGCCCACACAGGTTGGCTTGAGCACTCATTAATGTTCGGTCAAAATCGGATGAACGCACATACACTTTGTTTGATGAATATTTTGGGCCAAGCAATTTGCCATATCGTCTTCGAAAATATTGTCCTAACTTGTATTGCTGTTGCTTTCCCTCCTGCAATTGAATTGAATTTTTATTGATTCAAATTTTGAGCAAAACAAGTTTTTTGAAAGTCCTCAACTTGATCGAAACATTTCTAAATATAATTTGAAATGCATTCGGTATGAAATCATGCTAAGGTTTATTTTGATCGAAATTCGATTCAATGTCATTACATCCCACGCTATTCAACTAGAAACAATTTCGTTTTTATTTACATTTCTCAATTGCCTGATGCCACCTGGCCAATTTATTTCGTCTTTGTGAGGGTCATTAGGGAAAACTCGATCTATATTGCGGCAACCATGTCGGTAAATCTATGGATTAGATAGAAAAAGAGTGTCAGAAAAAATCAAGATGCAGATTATGGTGTGACGTATTTTATTCGCAGCACGTGAGCTCCGTGAATATTTCGTTGATTCATACAAATGCGACGTTAAATTCGTTTTAATATTACAACTTCTCAATATATCGGAATGAAAAGGAGCTAAAAACGAAAAAGAGCCAGAAATCACGTTCAGGAATTGATCCTTTTGAGATAAATTCAAAAAATGTATCAGTTGATAAACAAAAAATCACACACACTCTATATTTCAAACGGTGCCCGTTACATAATAATCGAAAAATTCGTTGCTGATTACGTTTTTTTTTTGTTCATATTTTTCGTAATGAAAACTTACTAACGCCTTCTTCATTCAGGCAAAAATTAATAAATAATTTAAAAACACTTTGTAAGTTGTACACACCACATTTGCGAATATAAGTTCGTCATCATTGCAAATACAATTTGGCCCTTCATTTTTTCCATCCATTTTGTCCACAATTTTATGAAAGAATTCCTAACCAGATGCTTGATAAATTTACGTGAACTGATTTATACAGAAACCAAAGTCAACTTAAAACACCGATTCTTGTTGAAGTAAATATTTTGCTGCGGAGAATGCAGTATTCGACTAAATCAAATACAAATAATTAGTTTTCAATGCGCCTTATCAGCATGTTGAATTTATTTACTGAACATTAATGACGACAGAAAACAGCTGATATGCATTCGGCTGTCAGCTCTAGACTGGGAGAGTAAAAACACACCGATTCTACTTTAGAAAAAAAAGACCTGTTCACTATTGGCGCAATGCCAGCCACAATTTGAAGTTTATTTTTGTAATCAAAATTAACAGCACGTACATATACATTATATTTACGGTGTAACAGAAAAAAAACTCGTGTCGATATTGATCGGTTGCAGGGAACACATCAACAGTCGACAAATTATACAGTGAGATTGTACAAACTGATTATGAAGCAGAGTGTCGACTGTCGATCAGTTTTAAGTGAAAACAACAATGTCAATATCACATGTTGGAAAGATTATTTTTCTATAGTAGATATAGTAATAAATACAACAGCAGAAAGCCCATCCTCATTTTGATATTCTGTCAATTTTTATTACACAGTATGAAATACACTTGATATATTTAACTGTTCCTTGTTTAGACCATTTCCAATTCTTTATTTTGTAAACTCATTAACAAGTCATTACTATATCAAATTTCTATAATAGCATGTTTTTCGAACACTTTTTTTTCCTAGAAAATGAAATTAAAGTTTGAATAAAATATTCGAGTAGTATAAAACTCAGGAATCTCATTGATTTCACAGGATTTAATCCTCAGATTGCGGTTCTATCGCATTTATGCTCTCATATGGGACAATATCCAATCGGTGTACTGATCAACTCTCTGTTGAAATGAAAAAAAAACATTCGAATTAATCGAATTTTCTGGGTCGCTTTTTTTAATTGAAGTGAAATTTCGATCGTACAGTGTAAACGCCTGGCCATCCTGCAAGTCCACAAGGCCACGGTCCAAACGAAACTAGACCGGCCAAGTAAATGAACATGTGGTACGGATCAGGGTTATGTTTTGTCATCAATGGTCCTCCAGAGTCACCTTTTTTCAAATGCACATCAATTCAGACACGAAACTTTACGAAATATTTCAATCACAAACCTTTGCACGAATCTTTTCCTGATACACCGCCGCCAGCACATAATTGCTTGTCGGTCAACATGACATTTCGTTCACGATACACATTATTACATTGATTGATTGGAACACCATCAACTTCAGCTTTCAACTTAATATTACTGTTGGTACCTAAAGGAAAACAGCAAAAAATTTATCAACAATTGAAATTTAATAAAAGATTGATGCAAACAAATTTGAAGAGTGTATTATTATGAGGATGCGGTTTAAGGACAGTTTTTACCATTCTGCAATAGAAAAATAAATAAAACAGGTTGAAAATGATTATTGAATTCCCTAGTAGGAAATAAAATTGTGATGCTTTCACAAATAAATTGAAGACCAACCAACCTCAGTCTGAAATGATATAAGAGATTGAATTAGAATAAACAAGTGAGATAAGTGGGAAGTGTGAAAGTACTTACTCGTCCCCAACCAGACACAATGAATGTTGAATTGTCATAGTTTTTGCCAGTTAGACCGGGCGATATCGGAAGACAGATGGGTTTAATCCAATCAGTAAAAGTGATTGATCGCGCCAAACGAAGCAGAGCAATGTCGTTTTCTTGTGTTTTTGAGTTAGACTTATAATTTTCATGAGGGATACGCTCCACCACTGGGATGTCAAGGACCGGTTCTGAGCAATAGCCGTCGTCACAATCATCGTCATTACTTAGATCCCATTCACCAAGTCGCACACCTCCAAATTAAAACAAAAATATGTTTAACATCACAATCGAGTTATTTTGTTTAAAATCAATTCGAACCTGTTGGGACCCATCCGAGTTGACTCACACCTCTGCCATTAACACAATGTGATGCTAATCGAAAATTAGTATTATTATTATACTCTTTGGAAGAATTTATCATTCTTCGAAATGGAATTTGAGTATTTACCTGTCAATATATAGTCTTTATTGATGAGAACACCACCACAATGGAAGCCCTTGCCACTATTTGCTATAAATTGAATGGCATGAAAATGTTTAATCTGCATTTCAGTTTGCTTTGTGAGTTCTTGAATTGCTTCGGCGCCAAATATTCAATTTGGAAGTTGAGTTTTCCGATCAGATATATCAAAATGCAAAATAAAAAGTATATTTCATTACATTTGGTGTATTGGATAAGGACCATCCAAGGAAATTCATTGATTTTAGTCGGCTCCCCAAAAGTGACACGATTGTCCAGTGAACTTCCGCAAACACCGGGTTCCGGTAGATCATTCACACTTAATCCACGACGATTGCCTTGTACATCGCCCCGAGTATTGGATGTGAGCGGCGGATTTGATGACGACTCTTGTGGGCCGTCGTCGGGTGAACAGCAAACCTAAACAAAAAGGATGATGAATTGTATATATTTTAATATTTCAACACAGAATGCGGAACAGTAAAAAAGTTGTTGCGTTACCCAACGTTGATGGTTGTTAGTGCGAGCACATTCGCTGTTGCGTAGATAATTTTGGTCAGTAATCGAAAGATTTGGGTCTCGAATCAAATTGAGGAGCCTGGTACATTGACGTAATTCGATACAAGAGCCTTGTCTCTGATCAGGCGTCAGGCATTGAGATTCTGATTGTGGGAAAATCCAGATTAATCACACATTTAACCCACATACATAATACGACAAATGTTATCATCAAAATGAACTGTTTCGGAGAAGAGACATCATCTGTTCTCTGCTTCTCTTTTTCTTGTTATTGTTGAAACGAATGCAAATATTGGGAAAACACGTTTTTTGTCTCAAATACATAAGCGTCTGTCGATTGTTTCGTTCCATTATCACGTTGAACGAAGCGGAGACGGTCGCACAGATGTGTTGCAACTCGAAAGTGTGATTGAATAAAATGTAAAATAGAGATAAAACATATTCGACTTTTAATGAATATACAATCTATTATGAACATTTTTTTTTGCGTTATTATATATTTATTTAAAACGTTTAACGCGAAAGTGAAACTGGTATTATTTAATTAATTATATTTCATTTTATTTATTCACGACATTCGTTTCATTTTGATCAAAAGACTTGCACGTAAAAATGAAAATGACAGCCGATTGAAAATATACGCATGTATCTAAATGTTTAATGTGTTGCATTGTTTTAACATTTTTTGCCGGTTTTACTCATCAGGAATAACAACAACAACCATACCTAGCCACGGTCATCCTTATTCTCTTACTTCACTTTTCCGTTGCTTCTTGTTTGATAAAGATATATAATTTGCGAGATAATGAAGTTGTCGTCAATCGGCTAAACTTATTAAGAAGCAGTAACCAGAAGAAAGAACAAATCTTTGGGACAAAGAACTATGCCAATTCGTTCTTGCTGATTATTATTGTTGTTCCTATGGCACATTTTCAATGGACAATGTCCATAGTACGAATTTGGTATGAGTATTAACATTCACTATCAACCACGAGTTTAGTTTAACAAAACCGATTCAAACGTTTTGGTTCTGGTATGCTTCAAAAAGGCTACGAAATTCACTTCTTTCACAATTGTTCTAAATACACTTCAATATTACTTACGTGCATTTCCCAAACTTAAACAGCACACTACTAAGAATATCAATTGAATATAATGTCGCATTTTTTGTGTTTGGTTTTCTTTGAACCATTGGTTCGTTTGACTATTCAGTCTGAATTCGTGCAAATCACTGTAAATGCACAAAATAATCTGGTCTTATTTTGTTTCTTCCTTGAATTCCCAATGCGTACACACATGCAATCCCAAAGTGCACTGGCATGCTTGCTTGCTACGCAGACGGAAAGTACCGAATGATATGTTTGAGTTGGGATTTTTGCTATGACTCTACAAAAGATGCGCGACGATGATATGACTATCGCCGATTTAGCGGCTATACTTGCACTATTGTTGTCGTTGTAGCCGATGTTTCTGTTAAGTTTATTTATGGTCATGTGACAGAGAATGCCGTCAGCCCCACATCCATTTATACCGGTCTATGGCATGGCCGTCATTGTTGGCTACGTTTTAGCTGTTTTTTTTGCTTTGTTCTCCCTCCATAGTACAGTACTATCAAAAACTAAAGGCGATACACACAAAAACTGGATTTGCACATTTGCAACCAGAATTTCTTGCGAATTTCAAGTTCACATACGCGCAACGTAATCGGCATATGTGCGGTTTTTTGTTTTTGATTTAAAACTCCTTATGCACATCAATTGGCAGTCAAGGCCAAGCAGCATCATTTCTAAGATTTACCAATTTATCAAACGACTCTGCTATGGCTTCAGAGATACATACCTACCTACAGCTACACTCAAATCACTCTATGCGTTAGTCCATTCGGTGCTGGAGTATTGCAGTATGGTTTGGCTTGGCTCTGGTTACAAAAATGCCACAAAAGAATTCGCATCCAGTTTACTATCTTTGAGAGAGTATCATGATGTTCCATTTTGCAAAATGGTGCAAATAACTACACACAGTCAATGACACTGAGTATAGGAATTCAACAAGCTTAGGCTAGAACATTTGAGTTTGTGGTTTGTTACCCATCCAAATTTATTTGGGGAAGTGAATTTGCGACAAATATTTTCGAAGGAAGTATTGAAAAAGTGTCCTCAATTCAGTTTCCGAAATAAATTTTGGATGGTTAGCAAATTACAAACTCAAAATGTTGAGCTGCTATGCAGCTAGCTGAGTTTCTATGGCCAGCTATCTGTTATTAATTGACTACACACTTTCGAGCTATGACCAATAACAAATGTCTAGACTTGAAATGCAATCGCTACAAAGAAGACGTTTCAACGCTTAAATGCTGTTTTTATTTTTATTTTTATTTTATTAAACATCGCCAATCTCTGGCTGAATATAATGTGGGTTTTGTTAGAGGTTTGGCCGGAAAAGAGTGCAAGACTGTTACAATTTTTATAAATAATGAACAAATAAGCAGTAACTTTCGATAACTTTCAGTTCTCGCCCCTGTTCTTCTATTATCTTTTCAATGACAACATTCACTGCCCACGTCTGAACAATTTCACTACTCAAAACAATAACGTAGGGAATAGACGAAACGCTTATTTATTCAGAGTCTTCGACCAACGATGAGGCATCATGAAAACGACTCCTTTCAAAATCATCACCAGTTCATTCAAAGTAGGCTGAATAAAAAGAATTTTATATTTGTTTTATTATCTTCATGTGAATTTTCGATCCAATTGTCATTCATAGGAAATGGTGCCGAATAACTAAATAAACGCACAAACACGTAATACATATGTATACACGCAATTTTATTTTTTTAACGTCACCCATATTATAGCTGTGCCGAACTCACAATGTCTATGGAACGATGTGATATGTGGCGCAACTAGGTGATGGCCGCAGAAGTTCTGTCAAAATTTATACACAACTTGACATTCAGTTAAATAGTTCATCTAACCCATAGTAAATCCATCCATGGGCTAGGTGCGCCACCAGCGTGAAAAAATATGACAGTATATGATTAATAAACAGCACATTGTGAGTTCGGCTGTGCAATGACAAAAATCCATTGAGTAATAATTTTTTTTACCAAGTTTGGGTATAAATTATTTCAATGAAAATAATAATAATAAATCGGCATGCTTTGCTACTTTTTGTTCACTTTTGGATTTTTTAATGTTCCAATTTTTTTGTAGCTTTGAACACATTTTCTGTATATAAATAGGTGTTCGACACAGATTGTCTTCAGACTCCATTGAACGTTGTTGGAGTGTTGTGCTGCGCTTAACAATGATTTGGATAGTGCTTTTGTTGTGTCTTGGGCTCGTTAAATGCCAAACCGTAGACCAAACTGAAGACGAATTGATGTTTGCACAAGTCGTAAGTGGAAAAATTTTCTTTTTTTTTTGCTGAAAATGATTAAAAATGGTTGTAAATTCAGTTTGTGTTAGTGTTTTTAATGCATATTCTATAAATCTCGTATAATAATTGTATTTAGATTTTTCGGCACGGAGACCGCACGATTCGTAAAACATTTGCAACAGATCCGTACAAAGACAAAGTGCATTGGCCGGAAGGCTGGGGCCAGCTAACGAATGTGAGTGAAGTATTTTTGCTTAATTGTGTTAAAAAGGTCATTTGATACAAAAAAGTTTCTTACAGTTAGGAAAGCAACAACAGTATGAACTGGGGAAATACTTCCGTCGACGTTATGCAAAGCTCCTTGGAGACGGTTCTTATTCACCTGACAAGGTATTCACTGTATCATCAGCTCTTGATCGAACTATAAACTCCGCTTCCTTAGTGCTCGCCGGCTTATTTCCCCCACAACAAAATCAAGTTTGGAATCAAGAAATTTTCTGGCAGCCAATACCAGTGTATTCCATACCACAATCAGAAGATTACCTTATCAAAGCCGATGATGTGTGTCCTTTATATGAAAAATTGCTCAAAGAATACGAAAATTCACCAGAAGTGCAAGCTGTAATTGAAAGGAATCAAGAATTATTTGAATACTTGGAGAAGCATGCTGGTCAACCAATTCGAGATTTGGAGCAATTAAAAGATTTGCATGGCACTTTTATTGTCGAGCATTCCATGAATAAAACGTGAGAACTTGCCATTACTCCAACTTTTTGCAAAAAGAAGCGATTTTGTTAAGTTGCTTACTAACGGACATTTTTTCCTAATGTTTTCAGAATCCCAGATTGGGCTCAGACAGTATTCACTCCCGGTGGAGACTTTGAGTATTTGGCGGAGTACTGGTTGAAGTTCACCAGTGGCACGAATCAGTTGAAACGTTTGAAATCTGGATTTCTGCTGAAAGAGATATTGGATCGCTTTAAGAACAAAACTGTATCGGTTTTGTCTTCAAATCATTCTTTAAGGCTATACTCAGGTCACGACACGACAATTGCGAATATGCTGAACAGTCTCGGGCTTTTTCATGTAAGTTTAATGATTCTCCCCCTGAAAACTGTTTTGAGCATCACAACTGCATGTTCAATCTTTTCAATCTAGCATTTATAATGTACTGCTTCTGTTATTGAAAGCAATTTTTAACTGGAATTCAATCTTATAAATTTTCACTGAATTTTCTTTCGTTATTGTAGCCTCACATTCCGCCATATTCGTCCAGTCTCCTGTTCGAACTGTATAAATCAAACGACGATTTTTACGTGCAACTATTCTACCGTAATAATTTAACCGAAGACCCATCGCCATTAAATATTCCCTTGTGTGGAACGAAATGTCCATTAAATCGATTTTATGACCTGTACAATGCTATTTTACCATCTGATTTCGGAACGGAATGTCATTTACCGACGGAGAAGTTATCTCATAGGAACAGAAGGCGTGTGAACCATGACAAAAAAGGCCATCAAAATCCATGAATTTTATTTTTCGCCCGTAACTTTGCAAGAAGAAAAGAAAAATTGACCACATACTGTGTACGATAGCAGTAAAGTAGGAATTATTGTTAGGTCGAAGGGATTTTTCATGACCATTTATGCGCCAAATTATCATTCATTCAAATGGGTAATCATTTATTGATGACCATTCTCTCGAAGATTAACCTCAAATGCATTACATTTTCATAGAAACAACCGAAGCGAACATGATTGTTTTTCGTGTTATTCCGTTATGATTGCAGTTATATGTCAATAGTACTTCCAATGTAATAAAATTCAAACAGACAAAATATTCATTTCTTTTTATTGATATAATATGTATTGGAATTTGGAAATAAAATCAATATCAGCGGTATCAAGATGAAACCTTTCTGTACGTGTTAGTTAAGAGTAACCAATTTCCGTGCAATTATAGTCATTATTCAAACTGATTTTGTTTAATCTATTGTAATCGCGGTCAAGTTCATTAGTTCAGTACACACTAGTTAGTTAATGTTAGTGTTTCTCTCAATGATGAATAATGAAATCAAACGTCTGAATGAATTGCTTTAATTATCGACGTGACCAATTATAATTTTAATTATAAATAGAAAACTATGCACACAGATTTCATATAGCATGCTATATAGCATCTATGTTAACTTAAATTCAAGTATATTCAACGAAGGAAGAAACATTGGGACTGAGTAGCACGTGTTGAAAAAGTGTATAACATAGATTTTGGTTCATTTTATACAAGATATCGGTTAACTTTCATGATAACTTAGCAATCAGATTGTAAAAACTGAATAAAAATGCTGAGTTGATTTAAATCTAAGACCATTTTTTTTATTTAAAAAAACATTGTCACTATATTATTGTTACTATATTTATATTGGCAAAATCGTTTCGATTTTACATTTTTTGTAATGACTTATAATTTAACCACAGAATGACTGTGTTTGAACTTCAAAATATGTTGGTCACTGCTTTTGTAATTTTATACAATTTACCAATTGTTTATATAAATTGATATTCAACACGAATTGGCTTCAGACTGCATTGAACACTGCTGTAGTTCGATCGTATTGCAAAAGTGTTGCTTCTCAGAATTATGATTTGGATTGTGTTTTTATCGGCGTTAGAATTGGTTCATTGTAATATTGCGGTTGGAAAAGAATACAAGTTCGTTTTTGCACAAGTTGTAAGTGAAAAATATTTGAATTAAATCATTAATTGTGAACAAAGAATTCAAATAATTTTGAATTGGAGACTATTGAAAAATTTAGTTAAAAATTAAATTCTTTATTTTTAAAGAGTTTTCATTGAAATTTGATTAGATATTCCGCCATGGAGATAGAAACATTCGGTTCGGTTACGCGACTGACCCATACACAGTAAACACGTTGGTTCTAACTTTTAGAACCGCAATATGAAATTTGGCACTAAAATCCATTACCATTTGTACTAGAAAAAATTCAAAATGTACTGAATCACAAATCAAAGCTTCATGTATTTATTTCAGAACTTTTAAACTTTTTCTAGAGCAAATGGTACTAAAACAAAGTCAAGTGTCAAATCTCAACATTCCTAGAATCATTGTGTTTACTGTGTATAAAGATGGACCAATTTACACTGCCCGAGGGCAACTGTTCTACAGGAATACAACAGCAAAAAGCCCATCCAAATTGCATTTTCCAAATTGTGGTACGAAATGTCAACTCAATCAATTTTATGAATTATACTCCGATATTTTGCCATCTGACTTTGAAACCGAATGTAGATTGCTAACCAAATAATGACAATTTGAAGAGGATATTAAAAAACGATGGCCGAAAAGGTCACTATCAGATCAATCATAATACATTCTAAGCAATCACAAACCAAAACGACGTTTTTTCAAATGAGCCCATATAAACAAACAAATAGTGATGATGTCATGACATGAACATAAAAGAAATGAACAAAAACGATAAAAACTAAATAAAAGTTCAACTATTCCTTTTATCTCTAATCCTACAGCAAATCGGAAATCATCAACACGAGAAAATGTAACATTTATGCCGCATAACAAATCGTAAAATGAAATTGAACGAAATAGATTCATTTTTTTCGTTTTCTAATTTAAATCCGACTGTATTTCCGTTAGCTGGACTAAATTGTAAAATAAAACACTATTACGAATACAGAACAAAGTTCGTTTGATAAATGAATATGCCTTCACAAGAAAACTTTGTCTTCAAAGCACCTCCCATTTTCAGCATGCATGATACGTAACTTGAAACAGAATATCAAATCAGTTTGCTATCCTCTTCAACCGTGAATCACAAAATTTCTTCATTAGGAATTCCTTTTTAGGAATTTTTTTCGTCAACAAACTGTTACAAAATTCATGTGACAAAACGGCAATATTTGATATAAAAAGCGCCCATGCAGCAATTTGAAGTCATAGTTATTTCTGCGGTTTTGTTTAAAAGATTCAATAAAGTATCGAAAGAAAAGCAATTCAAATCAAAATGTTCATCAGCAAGGAAACTACCGATACTCACCTATCGAAAGCGGATTTTTTTCGAACAGCTCGAATCTTTCTGCGGATATTCGGCATTTGGCCGATGGACCAAGGGCCGCTACCTATTTGGTTCTATGTCAACTTCATATCTCTGTTTATTGCGGCCGTCTTAGGTGTGGCTCACGGTTTCGTAAATTTGGACAATTTATTCATTGCATTGGAATCATTTTGTGGCAGTGTTTTCGAATTGGTTTCCTGGTAAGAATGGTTTACCGCGCCTATAAATTGGAAGCGTAAAAAGTATTTTTTTATTTCAATCTAGGATCAAATTGGCGTCTGTATTTTATTATCGCAAGGAATTCGGTGAAGTGCTTCAAACCCTTTTCAAATACTTCTCTCAAGGTATTGAAATCAAAATTTTGCAAATAACTTGCGTTTGAATTTTGACTTTACTTGAAGATTACAACAAGGAACAGATTGCAATTTATCGCAAGGTCATTCCGTATACGATGTTTTCAACCATTTTGCTTGCCTCTGGTGGACTTTCCACGTGCACCATTTACGTTTTTTCGCCAATTCTCAAGAATTTGCTTTACTTTTTCACTGGGCAGCCTTTGATAAGAGAACAACCCTTTCAAGCTGTGTAAGTACTGTGTATTGCGTTAAAAATTCACGTTTTTATCTTTGTATTCATCAAAATTGAGCATCTGCTTTATTTTGTTCTTGTTAAAGCTATCCATTCATCAGCCAGTACACGGACAAAACCTTTTTACCGTGCTACATCCACTTATCGCATGGGGGCTATTGTACTGCGATTGGATTTAATGGAGTTGATAGCATTTTCATAACGGCATGCTTCCATATAGCGGCCCAGTTTCAATTAATAACGATGAAATTTCAAAATGCTTTCAAACAACTTGGACGGGGTGGTCGGCCATTGACGCCAACGGAAAATCAACAATGGCGACGTACAGTTATCGAAGCCATGGAAGATCAAATTAGATTATTTGAACTAACGAATTTATTTATCAAAGTTTTTACTTCGATTATTCTGATGCACTTTATATCGGTGGCTCTGATTATTGGCATTGGATCGATTGACTTTTTAATTGTAATTATCTATCGTCATGTTTGTTTCCATCTTGAAGATTTTTTTCCCCTTATTTTTATGTTTCTTTTTGTTATTTCTTTATCAAATGAGGCTCCTGGAACGGATAAAATCCTTTATGCCGTTTATATAATGACTGTGGCAATCCAATCTTATGCTTATGCGTACAGTGGAAATCAAATCAGTGAACATGTAGCGTATTTCACCACGGGATTTGAATGTTTTGGTTAATAAAACGATATTTTTTGAACTTTCAGAGTTTAGGTATTTGGAGAGCCGTATGGGCTGCAGATTGGCATTTACTCGATGTAAATAACCAAAAGATGATCGTCGCGCTCATTCGCAGAGGACAAAAGCCAAAATTAGTAAAAGTTCCATTTTTTGAAGTAACACTGACTGCATATACAAAGGTTTATTTATTTTTCCAAAGGGAAATCTATCCCATCTCCTAAGTTCACGATGCCAATCTGTTTTCAATTCCACATTTTCTTGTTTTAGATTATGAGCACGGCTGGTTCCTACATCACCCTACTTAATAAAATGCTCGGAAATTGAATCATGGATATGAAAACCAACAGCATATCAGATGGGCTAAAGCGGCAATAACATTTATCAAACTATTTTCTTGCTTTAGTGAACTTCACATTTATGAAACTAAATAAAATGTTTTTTAGCACATGTCAATTCACTTGTTTTCTATTTCAATTGCGTGAAAGTGATTGGTATGGATTACACTCAGAAAGCATTCATTAATGGTACTATTTTATTAAAATGAACGAAATAATCTGTTAAAGGCGTTTTCTGGTGAAAATTTGAGTCTTTGCGGAACAGAGTCACATGGAAGATAAATTAATTTCAACATGCCTTTTTTTAAGACGACCTGCATTTAGTTAAAGAACTGTACTTAATAGTCAGTGAAATAGAGTTTCAAACGTGTTCTCTTCTATTTCGTTTTCAAGTTCGTCGAAGTCCGATTTCATCTAAGTTTTTAAAATATGTGTGGTTTTCATTTTGCAATAACTTTGATGTTATTATCTCTTAGTGATGTGTTTTCAGAACAAGAGAAAAGTCAAAATCGTAATTCAAATAATGATAAAATAATATTTGCGCATGTTATTTACCGTCTTGGTGGCCGCAACATTGAAACGATTTACCCAAGTGTGAGCTCATATTAAATTATCTGTCAAATATGCTTCAAATTTCATCAAATTATATTCAATGAATTTTGATTTTGTATCGAATGATTTCGAACATTGCTATATTCTTTGTCAATTAATTCAAATATTACTTTTCCACAAACTTTGTTTGTTAAGGAAAAGTATTGGTTTTACTACCCAAAACTTCATGACATCTCCTCTTTCGGACCACTATAACGTCGTGCCAAACTTCAAAAAGCACATATCTGTACACTAAGCAATGTAGATATGGGAACAAATCCTATCGATCAAGACCTAAAAATACTTTGCCCCCAAAAATACTTTGTTTACTATGAAAAATGTGCAAAATTGCGATGTGCGTATGGCGTCGTTTGCGTTTCCGTTCCCGTTCGCGTGTTTTGTTCGCCGGATATCTCAAAAAGTTGGCAAGATAATTGAGGTCTGTAAAAACAAAAATTGTTGGCATATCAAGGCAAAGCTTTGCATTGATTTTGAGCCCATTCTGACTTACCAATTTTGTACCATAAGCCTCTGACTGAGGACCTGGAAAACCTTGAAAAATGACACTTTTGTATGAGAAATACCCGAAAAAAGCATTTTGCAGGGTTTTGGTCGAGGCAAACTTATGTTTTTTTGCAAAAATAATAGGGGTCTGTGAACAACCGAACACCTACTTGCCTATAAATTTGGTCCAAAATCGACATTTCTTGAAATTTTCCCCGAAAAATACACTTTTGTATGAAGAATCACTCAGAAAGCCATTTTTTGGGTTTTGGTCAAGACAAACTGATGTTTTTTTGCAAAAATAATGGAAGCCTCCAAACAATCGAAAACCTACTTGCCCATAAATTTGGTCCAAAATCGACATTTGTTGACATTTTTGAAATTCTGTTCGAAAATGACACTTTCATAAGGAAAATGGTCAAAATAGTTATTTTTCAAGGTCAAAAGCGCTATGAAAAAAGTTTCCATTGAAATTTTGGTTTAACATTAAGCGGGAGGTAAACTAAATTGCAGCGGAGCGGAAAATTTTGGATTATTTACACTACCGTGCAAAAGTTTGGAACCACTAGGTATTTTTCATACAAATTGACCATTTTTGGTGGACTCATTAACATATTTCGGAAACACCTGCACTCT